CTGCCAAACACATACATATTGCCTGCGCTTTCTAGAGTAGAAGCAGACAGATGGCCTACCTCTCCGCGGGAAACCCAAGCTATGAAATGCACGGGATTCAGAGCCCAAAAGTAGGATTAAAGTTACAATTCTGCCCTGGTAAAATGGGAACAGTAATACTTATTTCTCAGAGTCGTTGGGAGGATTAAGTCAGAAACTATGTGCAATGCCTTTGCCGATCACAATGCACCTTACTGACATGGGGATTGTTAGGGATAAAAATGGCAAAGGGAACCTAGAGGGGAGCCCCTGGCAACACGGTAGACGGAACTAATGTCACTACCTCCTCGCCCAGCACCCCCTAGAGCACACACAGAAATGCTGAGAAATAGAACTTAAAAACTAAAATGGGAACAACTGCAAAAATGTACTCTTAAAAAGGAAACCCAATTATTAGAATTAAGGAAGGAAAACAAAGCCAGATAAAAGAGGAGAGGAGGCTGTGGCAGCGGCCCGTGGTGGGTTTCAGCCAGACATATGCCCAGGGCCAGGGGCTGCATTCTAATGCTCCCGGGGACAGGATATGCGGCTTCAGGCCATCAGAGGCAAGGGGCTCTGGTGGGACCCCGCGCATAAAGCTCAGGACATCAAAGGTCCACCTTCTCCATGGAAAGAAGACTAAAAACTACGCACACCAGTCCAAGGAAGCAGAGAAAGGGGAAAGGTCTACAGATCGACCCTGAGAGACTGTTGTCCCAAGCCTGAGCAATTGCTTGCATCTCAGGCAGATTTGTGTTACTTGCATGATGCTGGTCCTCAAGCAGAGAAATTAAATAGAAATCTGGCTGAGGACCCTTGAAATCCCTAGGAACACCACACAGCTCCACAGAAGAAAGAGAGAATTCCCTAAGAATGTTTTCATAGCCTAGGACATATGGGACTCTCAGTAAAATAAACACACACACACAACCCGCTGAAGAAAAGTTCACAATGAAATATCATAAACTAGACAAGGAAGTGATCTACTATGAGAAAGAATCAACAGACACAACAAACAGGAGTTTTAACACCCCTAGAACTGTGCATAATAGAACAACATGAAAAATACTATGTAAGATATAAAAGTGTACTTAAAAGCATTAAAGATTAAAGACAAGAAAATAAACCACAATAAAAAATATTGTATTATGGAGAAAAAAAGCAGTTTATCAAGACGGAAAGTTAAAACATTGAAAAATGAGGGACATAGGATTGAAATTAAAGACTCAATAGTGTATTAAATAGTAGACTAGACCCAGCTGGAAAGAGACTTAGTGAATTGGAAGATAGAGCTAATGAAATCACTCAAAATTTGTGGGGAAGGTGATGAGAGAGGAAAAAAACAGTTAAAAATCATGAGGGAAAGAATTTTATATGTGTGTGTGTGTGTGTGTGTAGCATATTACACCCCTATGTAAAATTGGGGCTCCTGAAAGAGACAGAAAGAATGGGAGGCATGTGATATTCCAATCAATAATGATTAAGAATTTTCCAAAATGGGAAAAAAACCCACAGTCCTCAGGTTGAAGAGTCCTGAGCTTATAAACACATTGTGGTGAAATTGCAGAATACTGAAGAGAAAGAGAAGAGTCTTAAAACTAACCAGAAAGAAAAGTCTGTTTTGGGACAAAAGTCTGTATGTCCCAAACATAACAATTATATTGGCAGCTGACTTTTTACTAGCAACAGAATATTATAGAAAACAAAATATCTTCAAAAGACTAAGAGAAGACTGTCAACCTAAAATTCAATGCCCACTGAATTTCCATTCAAATGGTGTGAAATAAGGACATTTCAAGACAATAACTGAGATTATTTACCACTCAAAGACTTTCACTGAAATGCCACGAAAGGATATAGCTCATAAGAAAGAAAAGTAGAACTCAAGAAGGAATGGTGAACAGACAAATTTATAAATGTGTTAGTGAATCTAAACAAGCATTGAAAGTCATTGTTAAGAGTGTAAATTTGTCAAACTACTCTGTAGAGCAATTTGGCAATAACTAGTAAAGTTTCACTTGTGAGGTTAAGCACATATTCTATGACTTAGAAATTCTGCTTCTAGATGTCTGCCTTAGAGAAGTGCTTACACAGACGCCAAGGAGGCAAGCATGGCGCTGTCCGTGGCAGCATGTTTATAATGTGGAAACCTGGAAACATCCTAAAAGCCCATTAGTAGAAGAATGAATAAATAAGTTGTGGTATATTCAATGAGTAGTATTCAGGAGTTGCAGTTCATGAATTGGAGCTACAGGAAACAACATGACTAAGTGTAAAAAAAAAGTTGAGAAAAATGAAACTTTGCAGAAGAATGCATGCAGTATCATACAATTTAGATAGATTTTTAAACACACAAATCAATATTCTGTATTGTTTGTGGATACACACATACAGAGTGAAAGCGTAAAACCATAGGAAGCTACCTCTGAGTCAAAGGGGGCAGAAAATGAAGAGTAGCTGGATTTCCATGGTATGTACATGAATATTTATTGGTATTCTCTGTACTTTTATACATGTTTTAAAAGACTCACATTTTTTTCTTTTTAATGAAGGGATCTAGGCATTTAGAAATAAGGGTAAAGGGGGATAAATGGCCACATCAATCCTCAGAGAGGATGAGCTGCGGGGATGGGATTAGGAGGGGCTGAGTCCTGAGCCCAGGGATTACAAGAATTAATTTAGGTCATTGCCCAACCGGATCACCTGGCTGGCTTCCCTGCGCCTGAGGGCCTTGCAGAGGTGCAGCGCTTCGCCTCAGTCCACCTCCCCGACACCTGCTGTGCCCTTTCCTCCTGTCTCCTAATGTCACCCTTCGCTCAACCCAGGGCTGGTCTGGCCAGTGTCTGCCCAAATTTGGGTCCTGAGAACAGATTGGTTCAGATCTCCCCTGAACGCTTTCCCAGTCAAGGGCAAATGGTGACTAGCACCCCAAGAGCCAGGGAGAAATTAGTCCTAATACTCAGGATCAGAGCTCCCTGAGGAGAGCTTGGACCCCTGGACATTACAGTTGACAGCGTCCTCCCTGTCCTTCCCTCCATCAGCCAAGAGGCCGGCAGTGAAGATCAACTGCTCGCTGACCCTGCTGGCTGAGCCAGAACCAGAAGGAGCTGTGCTCCGGCAGAACAAATAGTCACTGGGCTTCCAGCATTAGGCTGTCAGTGAGCAGAGCCCTATGCGCCCCACGCTCCCAATGCCAGCCCCTCTCCACCATCCCTGACAACTGCTCTTCTCTCTTGAGGTGGGCCGTGCTCCCCAGGTCTGGACAGGCCTGATATCTGCAGCAGACCCTCTGGAGAGGGTTCGGGTGGCCTCATTCAACCACCTTTCCCTGCGACAGGATCACCTTGACCACAGGATTTGGAATGGAATCCTGACCTCTGGGGAACATATGAAACTTCTGTCATCTCTTGGGACACAAGGCTAGGGGAACGAGTGGGAGAAGAGAAGAGAAGACAAGAGGAGAGAAGAGGAGAGGAGGGGACTCTTATACAGCAACATTATTATTATTGGGCAACATTTAACTTGGGAAGTGTGAAATCATATTTTAAATGGTAAGAAGGAGCATTAACCGCATCATTGGAAGATTCATTTTTACTTTTTTGTCAGGTATTTTGTCAGATGCTGGAGATTTTTTTTTTTTTTAAATGACTAAGATACTTCCCAACCTTCCATAAATAGGGAAGACAGAAGAGTAAACACCTGACCTTGAACAACCCAGAGTGACTGGTGTAACCCCAGAGGGAAGGAGAATAGGGTGAAGCACAGCAGGAGCAGGGGCCTCTGGTAGGGATGGGGTAAGGTGCCAGGGAAGGCTGCCTGCAGGTGACTCCCACCTAGGGATGGAGGGTAAGTAGGGGATAGAGAGGCAGAGGACTTCTCTCTTGAGGTGGGCCGTGAACTTCGCAGCCTGTGGGAGTGAACAAAAACAATATACTCTTGACCTTGTGAGTGAGTATGCAAGAGACGGTATGTGTCCCTGGCTTAGGAATCTCCTAGTACTTTTCTGGGTGTGCTGGGACGCCCCAGTTCCAAAGTGTTTATCCACTCTCCCTGCTGAGAGACCTGCAGAGAGGTGAGAACAACTGCCTTGGGCACTTGGTAAAAAGACTCGAACGAATGACTGATAAGTGTTGTAAGTCCTTCAGGCTTCCACATCTCCCTTCCACAAGAGTGAAGATCAGCAGCTCCCACTCTGAGCCGGCTACACGGGCGGGGTGCGTGGAGCGGAGGGGCGGGGGGTGTCCACGACTCGCAGAGCGTGGGATTTGGGGCCAAGTGGGAAGGCTGGGCAGTGGAGAGACTAAGTCGTCGGACAGCTAAGGCTGCCTGGGGCCACGGAGCGGGCCCTCCTGAGTGTCCCTGGTTTGATTCGGCGGGGGCTCCGGGAAAGCAGACAACGCCAGGCATTGCGCGTGTGCTGGCCTTGGCTTCCTTCCTCCAGCCCTCACGCAACGCTGGGGCGCCAAAGGGCACCGCGCGGAACTGGGCCGGACAGCCCGGAGTCCGCGCCGAGAGCAGCGGTGGCGGCGCCAGCCCTGTGTGGTGTCAGTATGAGTGTCTGAGCGTTCGGAGGGAACAGGCAGAGAGCATTTGTCCATCCTTGTCCCTTTCCTCCCCCATCACTGAGTGCCCTGAGAGGGAGGGGCCCTTCCAAAGGGTGCAGAGGGATCCACGCGCCCACGCCGGGCTCCGGGCCCGACCCACTGCCTGCCCGGGGGATCTAGTCACTTTCCCTTGGAACAGACTCAATCGCCGATTTGCTCCGGTCCGCTCGCTCCTCTCCCTCTACGCGGCCAGGGGCGTGTCCGGGAACACGCTCCCCAGCCCTCCCCGCGCCCGCGAACCGACGCCGGGTCCCGAAGCCTAGGTGCCTGCAGGCTTCCGGGCGGCGGCGGACCGCGGACGGCGGGAGGGGGCGGTGTCAGGTGGCCGGGCAGGCCCCGCCCCCTCGGCCCGCCCCCGCCTTCCCCCTCGCCAGGCTCCGGGTCCTGGCCTCGCCGCTGCGGCGTCTGCCTCTGGCGGCGACGGTGGAGCGAGCGGCCATGGAGGCGGGCGCCGGGGCCGGCGCGGGCGCGGCGAGCTGGAGCTGCCCCGGCCCAGGTCAGAGCCGCCCCTTCCTCACTTTACCGCCGCTCCTTCCTTTTCCCCATCTCTCCTCCCTGCGGACCCCTCTGTCCTCCCTCCCGCAGGTGCTCCCACCGTTCCCTCCCTCCTAAGTCTTCCTCCCTCGGTCCCACCCCCCCCACCCCCACCCCCACCCCCACCCCCACCCGGGGCCCGGTCTCCATCTTCCCAAGCTGGGTCTTCCGCCACCGGCCGTATCTTCTCCGGCAGCCCCTCTCCTGAGCCCTCCTCATCTCGTCTGTGCAGCCCCGTGGCGCTGCCTGCCCTGGGGGCTCCAGACCCTGCACCCCCTGGCACCGAAGACTCCCGAGCGTGGGGCGAGGGCGGGGCGGGCGAGATCCAGGAAAGCCAGTAGGCGAGGGGAGCGCAGCAGCCCGGGCCTAGACCCCTTCCCACAGCCCCGCCCCCATCACCTGCTCTCCCTCCGCGCACCAGCTCGCCCCTTCAGCCGCTTCCTTCTTGGCCCCTGCCCTCGCTCTCATCCTTGCCTCTCTGCCTGTTCCCCTTGGGCTAAAGAGATACACACTCTTGCTGCCTGTGCAAAGGAGAGGAGCCTGGAACAGGGGGTGCCGAGGAGGGTGCAGGGCGGGGTCCCTGCAGGCCCTGCAGGTCCTGTGGGTCCAGCTCGAGGGGCGGCTGAGCAGGGGGAGAGTCGCAGTTCTGGGCAGAGTAAGCCGAGCACTTCCACCAGGATTAAAAACCTCAGGGCTCCGAAGGGCTAGGAGGCAAGCCCCCTTCTCTCCCCGGCAGCCCAGCCCGCAGCACCGCCTAGCTTCAGACGGCCTCTCCTCTCTCCCCGCTGGCAGGTCCCACAGTGACCACTTTAGGGTCCTACGAGGTGTCTGAGGGATGTGAGAGGAAGAAGGGCCAACGCTGGGCGTCCCTGGAGCGGCGGGGGATGCAAGCTATGGAGGGTGAGTTTTCCCAGAAAGCTTCCTCTCCTTCCCCCTTCCCCAATTTCTCTTCCTTCCTCCTTCCTCCCTCTGACCCTCAGGACACAGCTCTTTGCCCAGTTCACCTGAACCCCCTCCACCCCTCCTCCAGGTCAGGCTTTGAGAGAGGTTCCGGGTGCATCTCTTTGGGGCCCTAAGCGCCACCCAGTCGCGTTGTGTGCCCTGCGGGAGCTGCCAAACAGAGGAAGAGGCCTCAGATGGACAGAGCTTTGAAGCATCTTTTCAGCAGGGGGTTTGTTCTTACTGCCTCCCGACCCAGATCCCAAGCTGCTCTTATTTTGAAAAGCAGAGACGTGAGAATGTGAATTGTCTTTCTGGTGTCACCTCCACTAACTTCATATGAAAGCTTTGTGGCTTTGGTTCTGTAGTAGAGCTTCTGCCTGACAGAGATTGCCTGGGAGGGACAGGTGAGATGGCCAACCTCCCAACACGCATGTGTCCCCACCACACCCATGGAACTCCATTGTTGCTGTCAACAACCCAAGACGCTGGTCCATTTTCCAGGAGTTCTTGTGAGGTGTCCCCAGACCCCTGTGCACACACAGTGTGGGTAACCCAGCTTTTTCTAGGGGAACAAATGATTCAAAGGACCCCAGATGAACCTTAGGCTGCTGATACTGCATAAAGTAAAACCAGGGATTTAGAATTTTAAAACGAAGCAAACAATCACCATCCAGACAAGATTTTTGCTATTTAGAGGAACTGCATTGCAGCAAAGGAGGGGTGCTCATCAACCAGAGGCTGGAGACCAGCACACCCCAGTTTCTTAATGCATTAAAGGCTGTCTTTTACACACAGGCACAACCTCAGACTTCCCCCTGAAAAACTGTCTTGTGGCGTAACACCCCTGCCCTATCCCCACACACATTCAGCAGGAAAAAGGAAGGTGGACTTTGTAGAAAATTTCAGGAAGAGCACATCTTGAAAGGGCCCCCATGTCTCATCAATGAAACATTCAGAATCATTTCATTTAGGCGTTTTCTTTCTCTACCTGCTGACAGGTAATGCCTTTTTATTATGGAAGGACTAATTCCTCATAAGCCACTGGGATGATTTTTTAACTTTCTACCAAAGTCCAAACTAACTCGTGCCCTATTTGGCCTGAGTCATGCCCAGTGTCTGAATCCTTTTTTGGCTGCTTGACCCACTATCCAGAGACCAGGACTGGAAGAAACAGGTGTCCTTATGCAAGTTTCGTATGGCCGAGTCAGCACTGGGTGGCTCAGTTGGCGCAAAGGCAGTAATGGGAGGCCACCAGGGCCAGAAAGGGCCTGGAAGGGGGCGGGCTATCTCTAAACTTGACCCTCACACCTGAGGACTCATGAGTGCAGGTCCTGCCCAGGGGGTCCTTGGGTGACACCAGGTGGCACTGTTATACCATCGCTGCCCTAGGGCAATGAGTTTTAGGGCCAGCCCTCAAAGGACCCTGGAAAGGAAGTTGTCTCTGACTCCCTGGTGGGATGGGTGTCTCTCCTAGGGGAAGTATTACTCCCAGCTCTCTATGAGGAGGAAGAGGAGGAGGAGGAGGAGGAAGAAGAGGTGGAAGAAGAGGAAGAGCAAGTGCAGAAAGGTGGCAGTGTGGGCTCCCTGTCATTGGGCAAGCATCGGGGCCTGAGCCTCACGGAGACAGAGCTGGAGGAGCTGAGGGCTCAGGTGTTACAGCTGGTGGCAGAGCTGGAAGAGACCCGAGAACTGGCAGGGCAGCATGAGGATGACTCCCTGGAGCTGCAGGGTGAGTGTCCGTGACAGGGCAGGAGGGCCTGGGCCCCAAGGCTCTGGGCTCACTGGACCCCCGGCCTGATGCTTGTTCCCCCTCCCACGGCAGGGCTCCTGGAAGATGAGCGGCTGGCCAGCGCCCAGCAGGCAGAGGTGTTCACCAAGCAGATCCAGCAGCTCCAAGGTAATTCCTAGAACTCAGGCTGGAAGGGGGTGGACATCTGGGTCCTTCTGTCCTGGGGGTTTGGCTGAAGCAGAGCCGACAAACATAACCTAATTCAGCACTGTCTCCTCTTTTTTCTCTACTAGTATATCACCCTTTCTCCGCATTTCTCCATTCTCCTCTTTATCTAACTTCCTTTCTTTTTGCATCTCTGCTTGGCTCTTCTATCTTCCCCTTCCCTTTCTTGCCCTCCCATTTCACCTCTTGTCCCTGTGATTGAACTCTCTCCTCTTTCTCTCCTTTGGCTGCCTCCCTTCACACCTGCATACATCTCTTTCTTGGTTCTCCTGGTCAGTGCCTGCGGTAGGTGATCAAGATTGAATTCCAAACCAGATTGCTTTTTCCTGGCCCTCTAAGGGCACCATGGGAAGAGCACTGAGCCAATGAGACATGACTGGAGGGGACTCTGCGCATCTTCTAAGTGAAACAGATGAGAACGCTTCTTTTGTTCCCTGGGACTGAGCTGCGGCCCCAAAATCGCTTTCTTCCAACGCCCACAATTCCCTTTGTCTCTGGGAAACAGCAAGGCAGGTGTTCTACGTCTCACTGCGCCGCCAACTAAAGAGGCAGCTTTTGTTGCTTCTGTGTGCTTCCAGAAGGTTAGGGGAGCTGTCCTAGAAAACAGCAGGGCCTCTCCCAGGAGAAGGGAGATCAAGCAAAAGAAAAGTATAAATGGAGAAAAAAGAAGACCAGGAAACAGGCCTGGAGAGGACAAAGCAAAGGTGGAGAAGCAGGAGGGAAAGAGAAGGAAGATGTAAGCAAAGGTAGATGCAGGAGAAGTGCACAATTAATAGGGGAAGGCAGGGGAGAGAACGGGGACGGGTTGCACAGGGCAGAGTTTGAACATTGGTCTCAGATCACCTAGATTCTTGGGCTGAGTGCTGCCACTAACGAAAGCTTTGTGCTCTTGGGCAAGTCACTTTTCTCTTTCTGAAACTTGGTTCCTTATCTGTAAGATGGGGCTAATTTATTTGTTTAGGAACCATTTATGGAGTGTCTGTATACTTGGAGGAGCAGCTAGGAACAAGACAGACCAGATCCCTGCCCTAATGAATGTACGTCCTAACAGGGAACGGCAGCATATAAACAACATAGGTTCAGGTGGCAATAAATGCTCCGAAGGCAGGATAACAACATGAGAGAGAGATGGGGTGAGATGGGAGTGTGTTTTTGATAGGGTAGATAGGAAAGTCCCATTGAGAAGATGACATTTGAACTAAGACCTCAATAATGAGAAAGACCTGAGGGAAGAGCACATAAGGCTGAAGGAATGACAACTGCAGAAGCTCGGAGACAAGAAGGAGCTTCATCATGATTGAAGGACAGAATGAAGGCCATTGTGGCTGAGGCCAAGTGCACTGGAAGACCCTGGCAGGAGGGAGTTTCGAGAGGCAGGTAGAGGCCAGATTACAAAGGGCCTTGTAGGCCAGCTGAGAGATTTGGCTTTTATCCTAAATATAGAGGAAAGACACGGGAGGGGCTTAGCCTGGGCAGGGGTGATACGATCTACTTTACATTTTTAAAAAGAGCACTTTGGCCACTGTGTGGAAATCGGATGGAGGGAATGGAGTTAAAACAGTGAGTCTGGTCAGCAGGTTATTGCAGTAGTCCAGGCAAGAGGCCGTGTTGCTTGGATTAGAGCGATGGTTCACTGAAGGTGATTCACCAAAGATTTTGAGGGTCCAGCTTTCAGGACTCTGATAAATTGGATGGGGGATAAGAGATGTGAAAGACGACTGCCTGAAACTGGTTGGTGGTGTCATTTATTGGGATGTGAAGACTTGGGAGGCTAGGGGAAGCATTTAAGACATGTTTTGTACATGTTGAGTTTGAAATGGCTGACGAGATCCAAGTAAATATGTTAAATTGGATATATGGATCTAGAACGAGGGGAGAAATGGGAGATATAAATTTGAGAGCATTAGCATATAGATGACATTTGAATCTATGGGAGAGATCCCATAAAATCACATGGAGATACAGGAAGAGAAGAAAAAGGGGTCAAGTCCCAGAGTTACTCCAGTATGTAAAGGTCCAGTATAGAAGGAGAAATGAACAAAAAGTGACGGAGGTAGAAGGAACTACTGAAGCCTTTCATGCCCTGGAAGCCAAGAGCAGAAAATACTTAAAGGAGACAGCAGTCAACTGTGTCAAAAGTTGGTTAGTCAAGTAAGATGGCCATTTGATTTGGCAAGACGGAGGGCTCTGAGGATCTTCCAGAGAAGATAGAAGTCTGATTGGATGGGGATAAAGGGGAAAGGGGCAGGGCAATGGAGAAGGGGCGTGCAGATAATTCCAGCAGTCACGTGTGAAGAGAGGCAGGGAAATAAGGGAATAGGAAATAAAGTCAAGGGAGAGGGGGTTTTTTGTTTTGTTTTTAGATAGGACACACTAGGTCATGTTTTTAGGATGAAGGAAATGATCCAGTATAGCATAAAAAGGCCTTTGCTTGGATAAGAGACGTTCTTCCTTTCAAATAAGAATCAGAATCTAAGTGGAGAGGCAGGGAGGCAACTATGTGAGAAAATAAAGTCCTAGAGCAATTTCGACTCAGTAGGGTTGTTTCTAACATTAGGTCTCATCTAGGTGGGGAAGCGGGTAGGGAATAGTGGCTCTAAGTCTGGTGAAGGTGCCCCAATCCCCACCCCCCTCCCCGGGAATAAACAGACTGTCCTTGCGCACGCGCGCTGCCCGTTTCCGCCGATAGGGGGCGCGCGCGGCCTCAGAGGTAGCTGGTGTTGGGAGGCCGTTCCGGCCGCCACAGCCCCTCCGGGGCCGGGACCGGCCGGTGGAGGAAGGCCCCCCAGGGAGACCGATTCGGGGGGGCCGATAAGATGGAGGCCATAACCAGTAAGTGACAACTGATTTCTCTGAACTGCCGCCCGACTCCCGGATCCTTGGCCTCTCCCAGTACCCCACTGTCAACTGGCGCCCGCTCTTTCGAGCCCAGCCCCGACCCATCCCAACTCCCATTCGGGGCCAACCTAGCCAGGGGCTGCCTTGCCCATCTTCTGGATAAGCCCCTCCCTCGGGCCTGCAAGCCCCGCCCCTCAGACCACCGCAGGTCCTGCCGCTTGTGTTCCTAATGAAGAACTTTCTTGGAGGGAGACAGTCCTCCGTTCCTTCTGGACTTGAACATATCATTTTTCAAGGCTAGACCCCAGAGGAGAGCCTAAGGGAGATGTGAAGCCAAACATCAAGGGCAGAGTAGGGAAGTGACGGTTGGTCAGCCCCCACAGAAGCCCACCCTTTATCCTAATGGCCAGTTGACATGTGTCTCCCCCAGTGGCCTCTAAGTTCCAAGAGCCAGACCACCTCTGTGCTGTTCAGTGGTGGATAGAACAAGGACTTTGTTCCTTTTAAATTGGAAGGAAGTCAGAGAAGCTCAGTGAAGAGATGCTTGGGTTTGACACAGAGGTGATGATCAATTAATGATCGAATAGGCCAAGAAGAGAGAGCTGGGATCATTCTAGAGAAGGAAAGTCTGGCAAAAGATGTAACTGGAGCTGCACATGCGAGCCTGGAAGAAAAGGGTAGGAGACCTTTCCCCCTGCCTCTGAGATACCCTTACTGCTCAGCATTGATATCTGCAGTATGTGTCAAATTTTTCTTCTCATAGTACTAAGAGTTTGTTAAATTAGATGACCCCCTGCCTCATTTATGCATGAATACAGCAAATATTGATCAAGCTGCATTATATCAGTTACTATGACAAATCTTGGAGCTATAATAATAAGCAAACAGAGGTGTTCCCTGCCTTCGTGAAGCTTATAGCCAAGTAAGTGGGAGACCAAGGTTTCACACACACACATTGCAAAACTACAAGGTGTCTTGAGAGCATTTAATAGAGAGCTTAGTTTTTTTTGAGCAGGTGTGGGGAGAGGCTAGGAAAAATTGAAATCTGAATGGTGAGTAGTATGAGTAGGAGTTCAGGGTGAGAAATAAGGACAGTGTGACTTGCAGAGGGTTTGTGGGAAGGTCCTGACCCTCCCAGCCCAATCCTCATTAATTCCCTAATCCTGGTTTCCAAATTTTGAATTCTTTATCCTTTTATTTTCTCTCCACGTTTAGGTTCTAATCCCAGATTACTCATGTCCAAAAACCCTGAGATGTTCCACAGATGCTGAGAACTCTTAACGCATTTCTTTTGTAAATTAAAATTTATTATAAAATAGAGGCTTGTTGAGAAAATTCGAACAGCACCAATTTACATGATGTAGAAAGTAAACAACCCCATCACATTCTATCTTGTTCCTCAGAAGAAACTGCTCTTTATGGTTTGACACACAGATCTTTCTAGACCTTTATTTATGTCTTTGTATATTTGTGTTATGTAGTATACATATAAAATTATTTTGCAAAAATAAGATGATGCAAAATATTTTATAGATGATTTTTCTTTCTAGTGAGTATATTATGGAAGCCTTTTCATATCTTTTCTATAAATCTGCCATTTTCTTTGAAATGGCTGCTGATATGCTATTTAAGCATCATCCATTTAAACAGTCCCTTATCGATCAGCATGTGGGTTATTTCCCCATGTTTGGTTCATCATGTGCTGAACCTGTGTTTGAATTTCAGCTGTGAAATCTAAATATACATTGTTTTAGGGCCAGTACTTACCACAGGCAGTTCATAGGAGCTCCGAAGCTCTAATTTCTAAGATCCCCGACTGAATAGATGAGAATAATCTGTGTACATTTTTTTAGCCAGGGAATTTTTGAAAAGACTCAGGACATCAGTAAAATACTGTAAGTTAGGTTTGGCCTTCCCCTGCTGGGATATTCCTTAGGAGCACTAATAATACTTTTTGTTTTCAGGAGCCTAAGCTGTTACTTTTGGTGCCGCACCTCAAAATCTACTTTTCTACTACCTTACTACATAGATTCACTCTTTATTCCCTTTTTAGGTATTCTCTTTATTCCATGCCACATGCAGCTGTGTTCTCTGATGGGTTAGAGACTAGGCTGTCAGGAGTTTCCAGATACGAAATTAAGTCTGCCTTCACCTTCGTGCGTCTGGAGCAGGGTAGATTGATTAACGTATCCTCTTGACCATCCCAACCTTCGTGCTCTGCAGGTGAGCTGAGGTCTCTACGGGAGGAGATTTCCCTGTTGGAACATGAGAAAGAAAGTGAACTTAAGGAAGTAGAACGGGAGTTGCATTTGGCCCAGATGGAGATCCGGAATCTGCGACAGGCCGCAGAGGATTCTGCGACTGAACATGAGAGTGACATAGCGTCCCTGCAGGAGGACCTCTCCCGGATGCAAAATGAACTTGATGACATGGAGCGCATTCGGGGAGAGTATGAGATGGAGATCACCTCCCTCCGTGCAGAAATGGAAATGAAGGCCTCTGACCCGTCCAATAGTTACAGCGTCTCGGATTTCTCTGAATTGCAAGGTATGAGAGTGCAAGCCCTCCTCCTGGTCTGTCTGTCAAGTCAAGCAGAGGGAGGTAGTGTATGAGGAGATGGTGGAAGGTGGTCTTAGATCATGAGTTGGGAACCTCTAGAAAAAACCTCCAGGTTGAAACAAGACTCTAAGGGAGAAAACACTTACCTAGTGTCCATTGTGGTGTGAGAAATAGCACCATGGAGATGTACGCTGAGAATTCTGGGGGCTAGGCAGAAACAAATGTATTTGAAAAAATAAATTAAAAAAAAAAAAAAAAGAGAGAGAGAATTCTTTCTCAGAGAGCCGTCAGGCATTTGTTGACTCTGCTGAAGTCCTTTCTGGGAAAGACAGTTCTGGGATGGGAGTACAGGGGCCTGTCACCTTGGGAAACTCTTCCTGCTGCTCTGGCATCATGGCGCTTTGCCTGGATTGCTTTCTGGGGGGTCCTCCAGTCCTGCTGCCAGGCCCCAGGATGCTCATTTTTAGGCTCCTTTAGCCCTCCCCAAAGTAGGAGCTTTAGGGGGCAACAAATCACAAGACAGCTGGAGAGGAAGGGAGGTTATTTCTAGTAATACATGAGGTCCTCAAAAGCTCAGAGCTCAAAAGCTTCCCATGAGTCTCCCAGCTAGTTGCTAGGATTCATGACATCAGAGAGTTTGCCTTTATTCTGAGGCTAGATTGATGATCTGGATATAATGGGAGGCCTTACATTAGGCCAGGGCAAGTAGAGGCAAATCAGCAAGGAATCAAAGAAGTGCGAGGTTTCCCGGCTGTACCAAGCATCTCGGAAAGCCTTTGGATTGTTGATGTCAGGAGAGGGTGGCCAGCCCAGTGGAAAGGCTTGGGCTGGACTTACACAGGCCTCAGCTCAGCATCTCAGCTCCACTGATTCGCAGAACGAACTTAGTCTCATTATCATCTCTCTGAACCTCAGCTTCCATATATGCAAACATTGCTTAATAAAACTTTACAGCTAGATGAGATTCTGAAACAGGAAAAGGGCCTCAGGGAAAATGTAGAGAAATATGAATAAAGTGTAGAGTTTAGTTACTAGCAAGGCACCAACCTGATTCCTTAGTTATGACAAATACACCCATTGTCAGATGTGAACAACAGGGAAACTAGGTGAGGACTCTCCCAGGGAATTCTGCACTCTTTGCAACTTTTCTGTAAATCTAAAACTATTCTAAAATTTAAAGTTTATTTAAAAAAGAAAAGAAACTCTTACAGGGCTATTTTGGGAATTCAGTGAAATCTTAGTATGTTGGAAGCACTCACACACTAACTGAATCCGAGGCTGAAGCCATCAAGTTTAATGCTTAGCACGTGGTTGGTTTCCATTAAAGATTAGTTTCCTCCCTTCCTTCTATGGTAATCTGCACTATTCCAAGGACTTATGATTGGAATAAACATTCAAAATGAACTTCAGGATGTAGAAGCTGACAGATAGGCCTTGTCCTCTAATTAGAGCAAGTAAGTGTCCTTTCAGTATCAGTAGAATTTGAAGAGAAATAATTCTTAATCATGAAGAAACAAAACAGATATGGGCATTTCTATTGTTACAGCATTAAAAAGTGTTGGGCCCTGGTCGGGTGTCTTAGTTGGTTGGAGCATCGTCCCATGCACCAAAAGGTTATGGGTTTGATGCCCAGTCAGGGCGGGTATGGGAGGCAACCGATCGATGCTCTCTCCTCGCCTGTCCCCCTCTTCTCTCTCTCCCTTTCTTTCTCCCTCCCTCCCTTCCTCCCTCTCTAAAATAATAAACGTATCCTTGGGTGAGGATTAAAACACACACACACACACACACACACACACACACACGTATGTGTATACACGCACATTCACCAGGTACTTGGGGACGTGTGCTGGGGCTTCTCAGCTAGATTTCTGTGGATACCTGAGGGCGATGTATGGGTCTGGTTGAGATGGGCCCTTCTGTCAGCAGATGAAAAATCAGAATTCTTGACCACATGCAGGCCAGTGTATTTGGTGTGGTGATAAAGGAAGGTAAAGGGCCTTCAGGATGCCTGGGTGGTCTCCAAAAGGCCAGGATTGGCAGGGTGACACCTGGCAGTTCACATCTCTCAGCATTTTGTCCCAAAAGTATAATAGGAAGGTAGTCAAAACAGTTCAATGGAAACTTTAAATACAATAAACCAAATGAACCATGACAAGCTCCTAAAATCCCAAGATTCTGTGGGGGTTTTGAAGATGGCCACAAGGCAAATCTTCTGGGAGGATGAAAAGGGCAGCCTCTCGAAAGAGAACAAAGACCCATTGCGTGGAATTTTCTGGGCACTGTCTTCTAAGCCTCTGTATGTGGTATTTCTCCTGCCTCTAGAAAAAGAGGAGCTATTCAGCCTTTTGCTATCAGATTTCTAGGCAGGAAAACCGGGGGCTGGTCATCAGTGCTTCCTCCCTAGGACCTCCTCTCTCGCACCTTGTTCTCTGCAGAAGAATTGCAGCAACTGCGGGAACGCTACCGCTTCCTGAACGAGGAGTACCGGGCCCTGCAGGAGAGCAACAGCAGCCTCACAGGGCAGCTTGCAGATCTGGAGAGCGAGAGGTACAGCCAGGAGGCTAGCGGGGCTCCAAAGCACTGGGCTGTTCCCTGAGTAGAACTGGTAAAGGCAGGTGCCAGGCTAACGCGCATTCCTCTCTTCCTGGAGACCCAGTCTCTCCCACGGTGTCCGAAGGACACGGATACCGCCTAGAAGCCAGCTTGGGGATCCAACCCAGTTGTCTAGGTCTAGAGCTGAGTGAGTTCAAAAATTAGTTTTCTTCCATTCCAAGCATTGGAGGCTGGTTTGCACTGCCCTAGAGTAACTCAGAAGTGATTCCTTTGTTGTCCACATGGACTGGTGCCAGTCTAATGGCCTCCAGATTGGCGCTGGCTTGACACTGGGCCTAGCCTAAGCCCAACTGGACTGGCACTCTTACGGTCTCCGAGAGGCAAACAGAGCTTTGCCTATTGAGGTGCTGGGGACTTTGTACCATTCTAAGTGTCTTTATTTGAGAGAGAAATCACAGTAAAAGGCTCCTTCCTTTTTTTTTTTTTTTTTTTTTTTTTTGGCTAAAACGAAGGCCTCAGGACCAAGCACACTTGGCAGGGGATGCTAGGCAGAGCTCTCTCCCAAACATGGCTCTGGGGTTCTGGATTACAGGACACGAAGAGCAACAGAAAAGTGGCTGGAGTCCCAAACACTGCGGAGTATGGTATCAGTAGAGTCTCAGACTACAGAAACGGATTTCCTAGAGTCTGACTCGGAAACCCAGTTGTTGCGACAGCAGCTGCTGGGAGCGGAGGAGGAGATGCATGACATGCGAAACAAGGTAGGGGAATGCAGGCCCTTCTCGTTGTCTCTCTTACCTTCTCCTGGACTGTGCGAGAAATGTCTCCTTAGACACAGGACCAGGGCCGACAGGAGGCATGCACTATGGCAGCTGATGGTACTCTGGGATCTTGCTTGTTTGCCTGATGTAAATATTCTTCCAAGCCTGTTCTTGGAGTGCATGTGGTATTCGTAGTAAGTCATCTTCCTGTTTCATTTCCCACGCAGTGCAAGGAAATGTGTTGTGAGTTGCAAGAGCTACGGCATCATCGCCAGGCCAGTGAGGAGGAGCAGAGGCGGCTGCAGAGGGAGCTCAAGTGCGCACAGAATGAGGTGCTTCGGTTTCAGACTTCCCACCATGCCACCCAGGTAAACACGGACGGGAAGGGAGTTTGGGGAGGGCGGTAGGACCTCCGTGGAGTTGCCACTTCCACGGAGGATGAACGCAGAGTAAGGCTGTGCACTGCTGACTCCTGCCCTGCAACCAGGGTTACAACCGAAGACCAATTGGAGAAGTCACATAGCATTGCGTTCTAGGAATGGTAGTCATTATTGAGTGTCTGGTTCAGAGAAGAAACCAGACCAGAGACCTGTGGGAGCTCCTCAAGGTGTCTGCTTCTGGGAAAAGAACCCAACTGGTCTGGAGAGGGGTCGCCGTTTCTTGGGAGTAACAGTTCTATCCACAATCCTCCCCACCACAGAACGAGGAGCTGAAGACCAGACTCTGCGCCCTGCAGCAAAAGTACGATACTAGCCAGGATGAGCAGACTGAGCTCCTGAAGGTGCAGCTCCAACTTCAGGCTGAGCTCCGGCAGCTCAAAGTCATGAAATGCACAGTTGTAGAAAGCCAAAGTGAGAAGGTAACAGCAGCCAGAGGTGAGGGGCCACTTAGGTGCTAAGAGGTTTGGGGAAGGTGGTTAAGAGTAGAGAGTTAAACTAACCCAGGCGCCACCTGAGCAGCACCACGGGTGAAGAACTCCAGCCACCCTCTCGCACTGTGTTTGGTGAGAGGGCGACCTTGCGTGCAGGGCAGGGAGAAGCCCATTCTTAGACCTCAGAAGTTGATTCTGTGTCTGAGAGTGACTCAGGCAGAAGAGTGAGTGGGCTGAGGACCCCAGGAGTACTGCCCGCAGCCCCCTCCACTGTAGGAGTTACTGTGCCGGCTCCATAAGCTGCAGCTGCAGTATGAGAATGTCACGGGTTGTAAGGATAAGCTGCTGGAGGAGCAGCTACAGCTGCAGGAGGACCTGCAGTACCACAAGGCAGAGGTGCAGCGCCTCAAGGACATCTCGGACTGCTTCCAAGAGAGCAGCGAGAAGGTAAAAGAAGCTTCAGGTGAGGGAGCAGGGGCAAGGCCGAGCTGCTGTGCGTGCAAGGAGTGGTGCGCAGGAGGAGTGGGCGTGGTCGGAGGCCTGCGGAGGAGGAGCTGCCCAGTAGGAAGGTGACCTCAGAGAGTTGTGAGGCTCTCGGCTTCCTCTGATTTTAAATCAGAAAAGCGGCCTATACAATGGAAGCCCCAGAAGGTGTCCGTGTAGAGTCTGGTAGGGACTCGTCCACCTCAGGGAGCCCACGGTGGGATGAAATTGAGACTGGAAGGGCAGGGTAGGACCCTCTTAGTCTCTGCTGGGGAGCAGAGAGTGTAGCCACCAGGGTTCCAGGGATGATGGTGGGCCTGCCTCCCCCGCCCCAGAACGCAGAGATGCAGGCCCGGCTTCAGGATATGAAGCAGCTGTACCAGACCAGCCAGGATGAGCTGGAGCGGCAGAAGCACATGTATGATCAGCTGGAGCAGGACTTCCTGCTCTGCCAGCAGGAGCTGCAGCAGCTCAAGACCACCCAGCCCATCCCAGAGGATGAAGGAAAGTGTGCTAATAAGGTAACGGTAATTAAGTGAGCAGAGATCTCCTGGGCACTTCCTCTGGAGAAAGGAGGCAAGGGCAGAAGGGGAAGTCATCCATCCACCCAAGGGGCTTGACGGGCTCTTGTCCAATCACAGCCAAGTGCGGCAAGGCAGGGAACCGAGCCAGCGCCCTGTGCTGTTAACTGTAAAACAGTTTGCCTTGACCTTGAGCTGAGCCACAGCTTAGTAGGATCAGCACGTCTGGATCCAGTCTGAACACTGGAAGGCTTGCACGTAATTCCATGAGTAGTGATATCTTGTCATTTTCATGGAGAACATACACACAGGCCCATGTGTATAACTTTAATTGTTAGAACCAGAAAGAGAAGATCTAATTTTCTAGGGCAGATTGCAAATGTGTGTCAGATGGCATGGTCTTGTGCCCAGAACACCAATTGGGTATTAGAAGGACGTAGGCTCTTCCAGGATTCATTTGGTGACTTCAGAGTAGATGAGTCCTCTACACTTCATTCTTACCCTCTTTAAATGAAACAGAATACTACTCTTATCTCACTTCCTTTTAGTATTAAACCCTGGCAGTGATAAATGAAGCCTTCCTTACTCATTCTCTTTTTTTTTTCCCATAGTGTGTAAAATGCAAGTCATTATCAGGTACCCTGTGTTGAGCACTTTCAGGACTGCTGATAGGAAATGGAAAGGTGTTGAAGCATGATAGAGAACAGGCCCAAGATTCTCAAAAAAATCAAGGGACAAGTCACATTCTGCCAGAACACTCAGTAGCTCCTGCCACAGCCCACAGCAGGCTGTGTCCCCAGGGCAAGGCCTCCAGGAGACACAGAGTCGGGGAGGTTATTTTGGCCACCCCAACAGTCCCCCTGCGTTTCTACGCCCAGGCTTACATGTCCCCTCTCCCCCCATTCCCGCTGAACTCAGGAGTGCGGGCGTCCGTGCCTTGCTCGTCACCTCCTCCCCTCGGGGGACAGTCACAGCATGCAGCTTACAGAGCCAGATTTCTCTCTGGTCATAAAACAGCACCGCGATTAGTCTGATATTAGAAAGATTTAGATTTTTGGAATCATAGGATGATGTAGTCTTCTTAACCCAAATTTAGCAATAGCACATACTTTTCTAAAGATTTTAAAAGATGATTATGAGGACAAAAATGAAGAAACAATTAGGGTGAAATTAATACCTTATTGGCAAGAAGCATACTGAGGAGTAAAAACAAATTGAGGAAAATGAGAGTAACAGGAAGTAGAAATCCCACAGGGTAAGAAAACAGGGGGGGAAATGGGGACAACTATAATTGAACAATTTTAAAAAATTAAAATTAAAAAAAAAAAGATGTACACCAAAGGAAAGGGCCAGAGAAAAGGGAGACAGGGAAATGAAATGGGAGGGGCCTTGATAATAACATTGGCACTCAAAGTGCTCTCAGAAGGGACTAAGAGAAGAAATTTCAAGCACAGCCAAACGGCCGTCCCAAGCAGCCTGCTGGGTTCCCTACCCAGCATCTAAACCTGTGTGGGCGCAGTGCGACTCCAGACGATCAGCACAGGGAGGGCGGCCCTGGTAAATCTCAAGAGGCAGGAGGGCACAGAAGTATTCTGTGAGCCGCGCAGGCAGAGGACTGCCTTACGGAGTACCCTCTCTCCATGCCCCGCCCCGTCCACAGTGCGACGCCTTGCTCTCCAGACTGACAGAATTGCAGGAAAGGTACAAGGCCAGCCAGAAGGAGATGGGGCAGCTGCAGACGGAGCAGTGCGAGCTCCTGGAGGATCAGAGGAGGTTGCAGGAGGAGCAGGGCCAGCTGCAAGAAGAGCTGCACAGGCTCACGTTCCCGCTACCCAAGTGTGGTCTTCTCCAGAAGGTAACGGCGGCCAGCACGTGGCTGCTAACTGCGGAGAAGTGGCCGTGAGGAGCTTCCCAGGTGCTGTGACCGTCTTTGGGAAAAAGGAGAGGAAGAGGGGAGACAGGGACTTTTCTTTTCTTAACCAGCCACTCCTTCCTTTCTCACCAATCTCAAACCAAAAAAATTCAACATAGCCAATGAGGGTTTTACATCTTAAAATACATTTTATGCCCTGGAATCTGTCTAGCATTTTATATTTATTTAGTGCACCTGGAGAAAATATACTTGAAAGCACTTTGTAAACTACAGAATACAGCCATACGTGAGGGATCAGTACTATTCTGTTAGCAGATCTCCGCAGGAGGACTGCCCCTGTCCCCAGAGCCAACCCAGAGATTCCTACGGGGAGGGTCCCCAGCAGGAAGGAGGCAGAGGGCTTTCCATGTGACCACCAGTTCCTGCCGCCTTCCTTCCACTCTACCTCACAGAGTCAGGAGCTACTTTCAAAGTTACAAGACCTGGGCGAGCTCCAGCTGCTCTACCAAGGCATGCAGGAGGAGCAGAAGCAGCTGATACAGAATCAAGAAAATGTGTTAAAAGAAGAGCTAGAGCTGCACAAAGAGCTGCTTCATTTCAAAGAGTCTCATTTCCAGGAAGTGTTGGAGAATCCAGAAGGTTCCAAATCACTTAAGTCCTCACAATGTGGTCAAGACAAGGTAACCATAGTGAGAGGAAGGGAGACGGTATTGGGGACAGCGGGAACGGGACTGCGCAGAAGGGTCTGAGACAGGAAGGCCTGTGCAGCCGGGAATAAGGATGAGACTGGATCCCTGACCTGCCCCAGTCATGACCGCCCTGCGCTCATTAAGGTGTGGCTTTCGATACTGCTGGAGGGCCTGACCCACGTGCACGCCCCGCGGAAGCCCTGTGGACACCTAGAACAGGGATGGCCCGGAAGTCTGTAGTCGCCTGATAATTTGTCTGAATCCCTTCAACATCTCATTTTCCAGATGTGTTATATCATTTTAGGGTTTGTTTGAATCGCATGGGACTGACTCAGAAAGTATCATCCTTTTCTCAGGAGCTGGTTGATAATCGAGAAGGACACTTTTCAGTGATAAATTCTGTAACCTTTTAGTGTTCTACATGAGCCCCGTAGGGGGCCATTCGTTTCCAAGGGAAGAGTTCCTAGCATGTGGGTTTCTTGGAACTGACTCCACTGTCTTCATTGCAACGTTGAAAAGAATAACAGCCAGGTCAGAAAGGATAACAGCCAGGTCAGAAAGGATAACAGCCAGGTCAGGGGTTAGACACCAGCAGGGGGTCGTGTCTCTGAGCCTTACTGGTAGAGATTTCCATGTAAGTCTTTCAGGTTTGGGTGGTGAATTTGGCCTGAGGTCTCAGTAGGGGCAAGGAAGAGCAGGTAGACTCTTTCAATTTAGGCAAAATCAATTCATTCACATATTAGCCTGGACAGAACAGCAGGAATCTGAACTGTGAGATTTGGTGAGATTCCAGGGGCATCAGATTTCATCCTGGATAACACAGACACCAGGAGCCAGGTATAAAATAATTTCCTTAACTGATCAGATCTCATCCTGGGCATCAACAAGCAGCCAAGAAGTCAGGCTTAATGGGCCCGGGAAACATGCCCAGAGTCCAGATTCAGAATCGGGGCAGGAGGTACAGGGACTCATAGAGAGACCTTGATTCCAAGTCCTCATCTTCTGAGGAAGGAATTCTTCGTATGCTGACATTCAAGGCCAAGACTGATTTTAGAACTGGGGGTAGAGGAGGAGACTGAGTCCAAAGGTCAGGATAATGGGTACACCTGACTGAGAAAAGGGGAGGGGAGGGAGCCAGAGTGTTCTCGAGACCAACTCAGTGCAGCTCCAAGGAGAGAGGGATGTATTGAAGTGCAGAAATGGGAGCCCCGAAACATGGAGTCCCTGCCCTGGGCCGATTTTCCCCAATGAGCAAGAAACTGACCCGTGCCAGTTACCTGTAGGCTAAGCTGACAACCTAGGCTATCATGAGACTGGAGTGAAGGTGTGTGGCTGTCTCAAGTGCGCTCTCAAGACGTCTGCACCAGGAGGGGCGCAGCTAGGACTACAGCGTTAGAGTAATGATCACATCTCCCACCCACCCCCGGCAGTCCAGGATGATCGCCGTGCAGATGCAGACTCTGCAGGACCTGTACGAGACCAGCCAGACCGAGCAGGAGCGACTGCAGCGGGAGCAGGGGAGGCTCCTAGAAGAGCGGAAGAGGCTGCAGGCTGATTTGCAGCTCTGCCTGGAAGAAATGAAGTTGCTCCAAGCCCAGTCCCCTTGTATAAAAATGAGCCTTGAGTCCTACAAGAAGAGCTATGGTAGCAGCATTGATAACAGTGAGAGCTGTCACAAGAATTACGGGAGCATCCAGGCCAGCGATGAGAACTTTCTCAGGAGCTATGGCAGCAGCAGCAGTACCACTGAAACCTACATGAAGAGTTACCGCAGCAGCAGCAGCAGCAGCAGCATCGCTGATAAGGCTTGTGAGAGCAGCAGTAGCTCTGACACCTGTTACAAGAGTTACGTTAGCAGCACAGACGATGAACCTGCCGAGCCTGAAGATTTAGAGGTAAAAGCAGCCAGATGACCTGTCAGGCAGGGAAAGAAGGTTCCTGCCTTATTAAGGAAGGGTCTAGCAAGGAGAGTGGGGCGGAGGGCAGATGCTTCCCAGGGAGCTATCGTTCCTCCCTCACCCTCCACAGCACTTTGCGGATGTGGTTGCCAAGGTGCTGGTCAAGCTGCAGGGAGTGCAGGCCCTGTACCAGCTCAGCCAGGAGGATCACGACCTGCTGCAAGAGCGGATGAGGGTGCTCCTGGACCAGCAGAAGCAGCTGAAGGAAGAGCTGGATGCCTGTGAAAAGGAATTCAAGGAGTGCTGCACCGAGGGCCTTGAGAAGCCTGTTACCTCCCAAAATGACAAGAATGAGGTAACTGCCATCAGCGAGGCAGGGTTTCTTGTAGGAGTCCCGAGGGCATTTTCAGAGGCTGAGGAGAGAGGGACAGGAGCTCACTGCCTGCTCGGCGTAGCTGCCCTCTTCCTGCTCGGACAGACACAGCGCAGACCGAATCCCGGGTGGCGGGGCCGCCTGGTACCTCACTGGTGGACATGTCTCAGGTACCCACTGGGCTGGGATTTACTGCTCTTCAAGGTTCTTTGAGTAATTTCCGCTTTTCCCTTTGCCACGTCTGTTCTCTTTTGCTTTGTGCCCTAGAGCACTTCTGTAGGGTTGTATTTTTTCACTTGCCAATTTTCTGTAGTTATTTTATGTGTACTTATCTTGTCTCTTCAACTAGACTGTAAGCTCCTCAAGGACAAGGTCCCAACCCCTCTTAGATCTGTCCTAGTGCCAAGAAGAGTATCCCGCATCCACCAGCAATGGGACAGAAGGCATTGTCTGACCAAGAGGAGCCCACAGTGCAGTGGGGGTCGCTGTGTATGCAGGGGAGAGGTTCAGAGAGCCTCATGGGCCCAGGTCGCTTGGTGTCGGTACATACCAAGGACACCCTGATGTGCTGCCAGAAGTCAGGAAAGACAGAACCAGGGCTAGAGAGCAGGGTGGGGCTTGCCTCTGTTTCCAGGGTGAGGTTCAGGCGCTAGGTACACTCTCAGGAGCGTGTGACACAGTTTCCCGAGATGATTGTACCTAATAGAGAAATAGTTTGGGTGAGGTAGGAGTTACCATCAAAAATCATGATAGAAAAAAGCCCAAGATTCAGAAGGGGTAGCTCTATAGTTTTTTCCTGACAGATCTCAGTAAAAATATAATCTAAATCATCCTTTTTTGGTCATGTTAGATGTAAACCATCAGGTTCCTGAAGTGAGGAAGGAGCTCTTTGTAAAGCTGCTTTAGAGGTTCATTTCCTGCAATTTCATGTTTCCTTCCTCCCTCCCGCCCTCCCTCCCTGTTAGTTGTCCAGTGTCATTCATTTAGTCAGTGCTGGGGCTGAGATTTGAACCCAGGTAGCCTTGTTCAAGAGTCCACACTCTCAATCGTTATGTTCTACTGCTAACTCCAGCTCCCTCGTGTTTTCTTTATTGTCTGCTTGCCCACGCGCTTCAGACAGGAAATTTCTGAGGCAGGGACCCCAGGCAGGGCCAAGGTGGACCGCATAGGCCAGGCTATGGGTAACTGGCCTCCACTGCCCACAGATCAAAGAGCTGCAGAGCAAGCTGCGGGAGCTGCAGCTGCAGTACCAGGCCAGCATGGACGAGCAGGGGCGGCTTTTAGCAGAGCAGGAGCAGTTGGAGGGGCAGCTGCAGTGCTGCCAGGAGGAGCTTCGCCAGCTCAAAGAGAAGAGGTCCTCTGTTACCAAGGGGAAAAATGCCCATAAGAACACCAACAAGAATGCCAATGGGGTTAAAAATAAAAGGGTGGCCAAGCCAAGCCTGGAGAGTTCTGAGACCAACTGTGAGACCAGGCAGGTGAGTAGTGACCTCTGTAGCCAGAAGCAGAAAGGTAAGGTAGATGAGGTCCTGGGAAGAAAAGCCATCTCTACCACCATTCTCACCAGGTGAGGTATTTGTAGAGAAGCTTCTGGGGTCTCTGAAGTGTCGTGTGGTTCCGCCTTGGTAGCAATTTGGTGTATTCCCTGTTCCTGTGAAGTTCCAGGGAAAGTAGAGTATAGACCATGCATACATGGAGGTACAGCCCCAAAGGCCCACGGCTGCGAGGTTGGACGGCTGCTTTAGTTAACCCATCTCAGTTTTCTGGGCACCCCCTTCCTGGGTCACATGCTCAAGAGAAGGACCAACTGGATGAAAAGAGGAATTTATTCAAAGTAGTCGTGTATACGTGAGAGGACCGGGTGAAAGTGGAGTCACTGTGCAGGGGTAGGAAGAGCAGGTGAGGCGCAGAGCTCAAGAACCTTTAGCTCTGGCAGCTGTCTGGGATGGTTAATGGCCAGACAGACGTATTGGTCCAGAGAGCCTGGGTGTGACTACCCTCCACGCTGTGTGCGGGGAGATTGACTCGCTCCCAGACCACAGTGCTGCTCAGGCACCGTGACTAAATGGGTAGCAGAGTTTTCCTGAGATAGTTCAGCATTGTGTTGAGGGTAGGCATCTCCACAGGTGACAGCATCCCCTGCCCTGCCCTGCCTCCGCCCACAGAGCCTGGAGGTAGTGCTGTACTACAGGGCCGGCCACACAGATTCAGATGACCCACCGAAAGAGGAGAAAGAGGAATTGGAGGAGGAAAAGAGGGAGGAAACTGAAAAGGAACCGAAGGAGGAGACCTGGAATGAACTAGTTTCTGAGCCCCCAGATTCCATAGCAGTGAAGTCCACAGAAGATAAAGAGGAGGGATTTGAAGAGTCCCAAGACCAAGAGGGAAAGGAAGAAGACAACCAAGATGAAGAAGACAGCGACTCTTGCACTGAAGCTACAGAGGAAAACCCCCTCAAAATTTCTGAGAGCAGAAAGGTAATTGCAGCCAAAGGTTGGATCAAGCGGGAAATGGGCCCTTGGGCTCATGAGGTGCCCCAGCATTCGGGGTGACCGGCCGTAGGAAGGACATCTGCAGGAGTGGAGGCCAGGTTTCTGAGGTGGCCCGCTTGGGGAAGGTGGGAATGGAGACGGAATTGGAGGAAGTGGCCTCTCTGTGGGAGATGGCAGGCTTAACCCAACTTGCTGGGGACTGTAGCGCAAAGGCCACCTTTGCTGGGTGGTCGTGGGAGTCCTGCCTCATTCATTTACATGGTAGCACCTGTTACTCAAGCCAAGAGGGCGCTCGCCCGCCTCAGTGTGGTAGTTCTCTGGGGAAGCTGACAATGCAAGGCCATCGTCAGCCTGGGCTGGTCACTCGGGCCGCCTTTCCCATGGGGCCCTGTCAAGTTCGGCCTTTGTTGCTGTTAGGAGTGGGTGGAGGGCCGGTGTCACCCACTGGGCTCTGTGTATTACAAGACATGAGGGTGGGGGCCTGTAGTAATCAGAAGTGAGGAATATTTCAGTCTCTATAGCGGGCCAGTGACCAGTCTGGGGAGACTAGCCAGAATCCTAACTAACCCTTTACTTGCTGGATCTTGAGAGGTTGAGGTGGGCATATCCCAGGTCACTTACCAACAAAAATACAAAAGTATTTCTGTATTTTAACAAGCAGTGCTTCTGTACAGGTACGTACCAGCTGAGTTCCTGCCCTGGCCGAGGTTAACTGGGGGCTCTGGTTCCCCCAAAGCCTTTGAGTACTTCCTGACTAAGTCCTCAGTTTACAGTCCAGGTTCTTTCTGTCCCTCTAAACATAGGGGAAGAAAATAAGTCTTTTGTGATGGGAAGTCCCCGTCAACTTTAAGGCTGTCCTATTTTCTGGCAGTTCAGTCTGCAGCCCCGGCCGAGGAGCCGACACGCAGTCCTTGTGAACCTGTGGCAGACTGTTACTTAGGATGTGATGTGGGAGAACCGCGGCCTCTTCCCTAGTGTCATATTTCTTTGAATTCCTGGTATTCCACCACATGCTGGTTCAGAGCCTCAGAGATTTCAGAGCCTCTTTCTATATGCCAGACCTGATTTGTCCAAAGTCAAGCTCATCGCTTGCGTCTATCTATGGAGGTGGCCCTTTGGCCCAGCGGGTCCTGTATGTTCCGCAGGCAGCTCTGCTGGCCTGTGTGTTACCTCCTGCGAACGATTTTTCTCTGGAAGATTGGTGCAGGCAAAGAACTGGCCCTTCTCCATCGTTGGCTTGTTGTGCATTTTGTCTCACAATCACAGCGTTACAGTTCTAGGGGATTGTAGGGACCAGAGCCCAGAATGTTTAGAGACTTGGTGGAAAGCAGCCAGGACAGGCGCTCACAAAGGGACAGGTGGTCTGGCAAGAGATGGGCTCTTCCCAGGGTGACAAAGGATACATCCTCATCTAGAGAGCCCAGCTTTACTCTCCAAAGCTTCACCTTTCCACAGTTCCCTACAGGAAGGGTCTGGGCGCAGATCACTCCTGCTTGGCAAGACATGAGAGGGATGTGACAAGCTGAAAAGCTGGACCCACCACCCGACTTAAACCCGTTCCATTTTGCGTCTTCTGGAAGCTACCAGTGGGAACAACCAGGCCCAGGTAGCAGGGAAGAAGCCCTGCGGCTCTCGCTGACCAGTTTAACCTCTTGATCTCTCTCTCTCTCTTTTTCCCCTCTGTTTTCTCATCTTCATTATCTGTTGGATTCATGTGTTTATGTCGTTTTACGCCACCTTTCATCTCCTGGTCTGTCCTCATGCTTCTTTCTCATTTGATATGTTGCAGCCATCCCCTGCCCCCAGTCCCCCCATCTTCTCCTTGCCTCTCGTAGGCCTGGTGGTCATATCGGCTTTGCTCTGGTGCTGGTGGGCTGAGACGTCGTCCTAATGCAGGTACTGGTACTGGGTCGTCTTCGGAGGGATCGAGGGAGGGTGCAGGTTGCCCTTGCCTCCCCTCTTTCCCTCTTCTCTCAGCTACTTGCTTCTCGCTTTTGCCATTTTATGACAGGCGATACTGGGGTCTGAGTTTTAGCTCTGGCTTTTCCGTGGGCTACCGCAAAGCCCGTGACATCTCGGAGCGTGTCTTCATAACGCATAGGGAGGTGGAATGATTACTGTTGACATGGTTTGAGTCTCTTTCTTCTGGCTGGGGAATATTTGGATGGTCCCAGCACTGTTGCTGCTCTCAAAGCTGCCCAGCCACTTGGGGTGAGCTGATGTCTGTCTGCAAGGCTGGCCTGGGTGCTCTTTTTTTCAGTCCCGAGCCAAGCTCTCAGTGCTGTAAGTACCCAGGATGGCCAACTAAGGAACCGCTGCCTCCCCTGTTGAGTGAGGGAGGGGGTCTGGAGAGCTGTGACTCCCCCAGGCTCGTGTGTATGAGGGTATCCCACTCATCCTTCAACCTTCGGGAAAGTGGAAGTGAAACCCCTACCACGTTACGTACTTTCTACTGAGAAAGTTCTCTGATTTGGGGCTCTGAGCTCCAGAAAAATCAGAACAAGAATGCCAGGAAATATTTTCTAGTTCTCCGTTTATTCCTTTTGGGGGCCAGGTTCTGTTGTAATTGCTTCCCACGCTGGGCTTTCTGGAGAGAAGGTATCGGTGAAAAGTTCCCATCACCCAGAGATGCACGTGTTCTTGGGGGATGGACGCAGGTGTTTTCCCGCCACCCTCCAGCTGGCCAGTCGGTGTAATCTGGTCGGTCCGCCGGCACCAAATCCAGGAGGCGGAATGTGAAGTTGTGAGCCCCTAGGGCTCCACCTGCCTTCCAGAGCCCGTAAGCTCTTCTCTCAGCCTGTTTGGGCACCTTTCCCAGCTCCCCGCGCCACTGCCGCTCTCCCACCCTGCTCCTCGCGTCCCGGTGAGTGGGCGCGGTTTGCCTAATGGGCAGGGTCGGAGTGGCAGCTGATAGCTGGTAGCTCTCATCACTGCTTCCATTTCTCTCCTTCCTCCTCTCCCCTCACTGTGAGGCATTCCACTCACGCCCCATGGACGGTCTTCACCTCCTTTAGTGGGGGAGTCTCTCCCTGTGCTTGTTCTTCCCCTGTGCACCCCGACTTCTGAGTCCCAGGGGGTGAGACCCAGAGCGTTCATCCATAACCTTTCTCCAGCTCAAACGCAGCCAGGCCCAAGCAGTGGGAGAGGAAGGAGCCCTTGGGTAGGGTCCTCCTAGGGGAGCTTGCTATGCCCAGGACCTGGCTGCACGCCAATATGCAGCTCCCCAGCCAGGAACGGAGGCAGTTAAGGCAGGAACTGGCTGGTAGAGGGGCCAGAGAAATTGGTTGAGTCTGTCTCTGCTGCTTGTAGCTTAGTTCCAAGGAGCAAAATGCATAACCTGAATGTTTGTTTCTTCAGATGTAAGCAGAGGGTTGGTTATACAGTCTCTGCCTTCCTCGTTGAGCATCAGATGAGTACATGTGTATAAAAGTACTTTACAAATGATAAAACACTACATGAAAAGAAGAGCATGCACTTACATAATGCACACGATGTGCCATGACTGTTCTAATCACTTATCTATAATAACACATTTAAATCTTCCAACAACCCTGTGAGGTTGCTATTATTATTATTTGATGTAACAAAACTAAGGCGCAGAGAGGGTAAGTAAGACAGCCAGGAAGTTGTAAATCAGATTCTAAGCATTTAACATTAGCAACAGGTTAAAGTTCAATCCTGTTTTCCCTTATATGCCTCCTCATTTTGAGCAATTTTCCTTGGTTGCTTCCAGGTAATTAGGAAGACACCGTTCTTCTCTTGATAACTAATAACATATTATTAACTTGCTTCATGTATTGTTCATAAAACCCCTTTGCGCATCATATATGCTAAGTGATCCCTCCCCGTTCTCTACCTGCAGCTGATTTTTTGGATCCGAGACAGAATTTTTCACGCATCCCTATTAGAGATAAGCCATCGACCTAACCTGTGAAGTTTTTTTAATCTTCCTCTGGTTTCAAAATATTCCCATGCCCTCCCACCTTCCATCAGCCTCAGGGTGACAAGCCCACCCTCATATCCTCATCCATGTTACAGGTGGCGGCTGAGCCTCTCAAGTGCCGTCTCTCCAGGCTCGGAACCGGCTCATCGGTCCCTTAACAGACGATCATACAGCAAACTGTGCTGTCATCCTACTCACTTCCTCATACTCTCTCCAAGGACATGGAGAACCTTGTCAAACACCTTGATTAAGTCCAAAACATGACTTTCTCGATCTGTGTATTTGTTTATTTTACTTTTTTCAAAAATTGAATTTATTGGAGGTGACATCAGCTAATAAAATTATACCGGTGTCAGGGGTAATAGTCCTGTAACTCATCACCTGTTGACGTGTCAATTGTGTGACCCAGCTTGAAAGGAAAGCCTGACATGACTTACCCCTTTGTGATGCCCAGATCAGCCCTTTACTCAGCCAGCCTGGAATCTTGCCTCTGCCTGGTATAAAGGGCGCCAGGTCACGTTTATGGGTTTCAGCTCCTTCCTCCTTTAAGAACATCAGACTGACATTTTTAGCAATGCACATTAGGATGTACGCACCTGAGCATGTAAATATTTTTTCCTAGCTCCCTTACAGTTTTTTTCTTACATAAATTACATACCCACCTCCAACATTGTTTTGCTTCTCATTCATATGTTCTTTTTAGTAACTAATTTTACAAGTGTAGGTTTTCTTTGCTCTTTAGAGTTGGCTTAAACTCCTCTTTTCAGATGTTTTCCTCTTAAGTAAACGCATTCTTAGCATTAATGAGCTATATTCACCCTTCCCTAAAACTGTCTCTGTTACGCCTTGGCTTATGACTTATAACCCAAATTTTGTGTTTCAAGTAATGCAGTAAAAAATAATAATAAAAGTAGGAACTGTTTTCCCAAGTAAGTATTTCCTTGTCCAAGATTTCATGTTCCCTAAATGATGCTTATTGTCCCATGAATCAGCAGGACTTGCTAAGGTCAGCAGGGTCTGGCAGCCTCCGCACATGCTCAGGAAGTCAGTCAACACACCCAGTAACTGGGGGTGTTTAATGACACTGGCATTTGCCTCCCAGGGCCAGCGATCGGCTTCCTTGAATTTCTTTGAGCCAACATTCTCCATAAAGATTCTGGGCTGCCTGCACTCCGCGGTGTACTTTCCTCACTTCCCCCTCAGCCTTAACATCCTCTTGACTCTGAGTTCCTTCTCCACGAAGCGAATGAGCTGCTGCTGCTTTTCCCAAAGCCTCCCGTTGACCCTCATATTTTTGCCGTGGTATCCAATCCTTTCTCGTTGCAACCATTTGGATGCTCCGGGGTCTGGCCCCTGAGCTTGCTTCTACACACAGGAAGCGGTGTTCCTCTCACTCACGGGGCACACATACAGGCCGTGGCCTCGGGTGACACATGTAGGGTCGTTCCAGGACTCAGACCACACTGTTTCCCGCATTTACCCGGCAGGTAAGAGGGACTGGAACGTGGTGCCCCTGAGGTGTCTGTTTGCAGCACCGGTAGGCAGGGGATGTGGCTTAGGGCAGGGGTCAGAAGGCAGGGCACTCACCATTTGTCTTTGGTCCCCACAGAACATGTTTGGGATGTGGAAGCCTATGGTGTTCTTGGCTCTTGCAGCTGTGGCTCTTTATGTATTACCCAACATGCGACAGCAGGAGACAGAGTTCTGCCTCATGGAGTGATGGCAGAGCTGGGCCCGCCAAGGGGGCAGATCCCCAGTGGCTGCTACCCTCGGCTTTGGGTGCGACACCCTGTGCCAGAGCCCCCACCCACCCATGCGTCTCATGTGTCCCCATCTTCTCAGCCTCAGTCACCCAGGCTGGACAGGCTCACAAGGAGCTGCTGGCTCCCGTCTCCTGTGTTGGATAAGAACCTGGGTTCCTTGTAATTAAATATCAGCCTAACTGCATGAGACTCTGTGGCTCTTTATTCGTTAAATACTTCACAACACAACCAGAACAGAGCGGTTTCCCTTAAACCGGGTCCCTCACATAGGGGTCTGACTCCTAAAGATGATTCGTCACCCGACAGATGACCGCAGAAACGCAGCTGGCCCCTTTGCTGCCGGCCTCCTTACAGATGGATTGGTCTGCGCATATTAACACTATCTCAAGGAGCTCACCTGAGCCCAGAGAAATGGAACAAACTGGGGGCCCGTGACCTGCCGTGGTTCTGTGCCCACACCTACGTCCTCGAGAAGGGAGCCCTGACACCTGGGAGTGAGCATTCGGAGCTCGCTCAGTCCTATGACTCCTCAAGGGACTCACTCACAGTGATAACTTTATTAGTCACTCAGCATCCTGGCAGTGAACAGGTCACACATCCAGAAGCTTTAACTGAAGGGTTTACTGAAGGGCAGAGTTGGAGAACCAACAAGGAAAAGCAACAAGGAACACCAACAAGTCCCCAGGCACCAGCAAAAGTGGAAAGTGGCTGCCACTCCAGGCCTGTAAAGGGGCCCCCGACACATGTGGAGGCCACAGGGGGGAGCAGCCCTTGTCAGAGCCACATATGAAGTGGGGCGTTTATGTACTCACCGCCCTCTTCCCACCCCCTGGGTTCCTCTTGGTACCTCTCGCTGGCCCTCTGAAGGCAGCACTGATTTAGGGTGGCCCACGGATCAGCATCAGCATTGCAAGCGTGTTAGGAAGGAAGAACCTCAGGCCCCACTGCAGACCCATGACACAGAATCTGCATCGAACGAGATCCCCAGCTGATTAGTATGCACAGTAAAACCTTAGAAGCACTGTCCTCGCTTATATTAGACTGTGAGTCCTCAGCTGTAACCTAACTGAAGAAATTCCTTCATAGCCCCTGGTGCCACTGGCCCCTGGCCCCTGGGTGTTAGGTATAGCGAAGCCCTGCTTTTTATTGACTTCGCTCTGGCCACCACCAGTTGGCTGGGGAGCATAAGTGGTGGAGAGGACTGCCGAAGATCACTGGTTTAACTCGGAACTCATTAGCAGCCAAGATGGAAGTCATGGTCTGGTAGGCATGACTTCCAGACCATGTATCAGATTCTAAGCATTTAACATTAGCAACAGGTAAAAGTTTAATCCTGTTTTCCCTTATAATGCCTCCTCATTTCGAGCAATTTTCCTTGGTTGCTTCCAGGTAATTAGGAAGACACCGTACTTCTCTTGATAACTAATAACACATTATTAACTTGCTGATGAACTTGCAGTCGGCCCCCAGTCAGGACTTTAGCTGGTCCTTCCCAGGCCCAAATCTAGAGCCTGGGCAATGACAGGAAAGTGGCCTGCTCTCCCCAGCCTTTTCGCTTAGAACACGGAGCCCTTCCTTCAGGACGCTGCCCCGTTGGCTTGTTTTAGAATGCCATTCCCTTCAGCCTTCTGGGCTCTGCCTCCTGGCCGGTCCTGTGGCTACACTTCACCAGAGGAGATTAAAGAGGTCTCTGTGTTGAATGTGACAGTCACTTGTGCTAGCTTTAGCTCTACAGGGTGGTCTCAGAAGCTAGAGGGACATGCACCCAGGCAGCGGTACAGATGGAACCAAGGACCTGAAACCCCTTCAGGGGCCTGCCACCCCCCCCCCCCACCCTGCATAACCGCTTCCTTTATGCTCTCTGGGCGCAACAGCCCCTCCGCTTTCCCTTGCCAGGTCACGTGGTACAGGGCACCACCTGCTACTCCTGTCAAGGACCAGCTGCGATTGGGGGGCAGGGTGGGTCGTTCTAAAGATCAGGAGTACTCTGGTTCGGGTTTTGGCAGGTGGGGTGTTAGGATACAGCGACGGGAAGAGGGGAGCCGGGGCCGTGGGCTCTACAGGGGACAGAGGCCGAGCTGGGAGGAAGACCTAGCTCGCCAGAACCTACATGGTTCCCAAGATACCAGCAGACGAAGCAAACTGACTTGCACCATGTTCATCATTTTACGTTACCTCCTTTAATCTTCGCACATAAGAAAATCCCTGTGAGAGCACTGTGAACTCCATTCTAAAGATGAGAAAACGGAGGCCCCAAAAACATCATCTGCCCAAGGTTACAGAGCCTGTGGATCTCTCCATCCTACCCCACTGTCTCTGGCACCTGGGTCCGGACCCCGGTCAGTATCACTGACTGGTCAGAGTGCCCGCTGTGAGCCTGGCCAGCCCGCCACCATCACAGGTGACTGCGGACACGTCCCTGGCTCTGGAAAAAACGAGATTCTCAGACATGGCCCATTGGACCCGCTCACTCAGACTCCGCTCAGAGCAAGTTAAATGTGGCTGCTGACGGCGGCTGGTGAGCAGTGCGCCTCGATGGGAGCAGTAGAGCCAGGTGGAAAGCAAGCAACCTGTTCCCCCGAGACAGGTCAGCAGGTGGTGAGTCAGGGGGCTATAAATGGCCTGTGGCCCCAGCCAGCGCAGCCCCAAATACTCAGCTGATGAAACCCCCTGTAAGCCCCTCTATGTGCCCCTGCCTGGCTTGGGAGGGAACACACTGGCCTTCAGGGAGGCCACCCCAACTTGGCAGACCCCAGGACCAGCATTGCGCACGGTCTGTTCCAGCCTCCTGGCCGGCCCGGGGCCTGGGTTCATGGGCTATATTGAGGGCTGAGTCACCAGCCTGCCCCTGGGTCAGGCTGCTGTGACTGGCTGGCTGGGGCCTGAGTCAGGCCCCGATTTATCCTGGAGAGCAACAGGCTCAGGTTTCAGGGGGATGAGAAGGGTTCTGGGAACCATCCTTGGCACCAGGCACCTTGCTCTGCTGAGGCCATTCAGTCACTTCAGGGCCTCACAAGGACCTCTCCTGGACAGAGGGACTGAGAAGCCGGAGAGAGAGGCGGCTTCTTTTCTCCCTTTGTCGGCTTCCCTCTGAACACACCCACCCTAACAGAGGCCCTCAACTGACTGAGGGACCTCGGGTAATGCCCACAAAGCAGGACTGTGAGCCCCTGGGATTTGTAAAGGGACCGTTGGCTCCAAGCAAACCCCCTTTACCCCTTTCTCTCCCCCACCAGCAGCTCAGGGGGAGGAATCCATCCTTTCTCAGATCTGTTCCTCAGTTCCTTCTTCAGGGCTTCAGGGACAACATCACTGGACCCTCAGCTGGCACCTCCGGTTGGGTGTCAGAAGTCCACCTTTTCACACACACGCACACACATACAGTCCACTGTGAGACCCAGCTCTGTGCCATGTGTCCCCAGGAGCTGGGCATCTCTCCACGGGAGAGCTCCGCCTCTCAAACAGTCGGATGGCACTGATGTCTGGTGGTTGGTTTTGGCTGTGGGACAAAGGTGCTATGGGGGAATGAGAGTTCTGCAGATAGGGAGGGGGTGCCAATAGGAGAGTGGAATTCCTGAGCACCTCGTCACAGGCAGCCGACAGAACATGAGCCGCAGGGCCCAAGCTATTTATACTTCATCTGTCACTATCAGGGCCCCCAGAGCTCCCCCTCCCAAGCCACACACAGCAGGCCCCTTTTCTGTTTCTGGTCCCTTCTGTACTCCTCCCCCTCCCTACCTAATGAGAAGGGAAATCAATCATTCATGGACCGCTTTCACAATAAGCACTGTGCCCCCAAACCCCTGCACTTCTTTC